TTAGGTCAGTCACCAACACTAGTGGCCACAAGTCCGTGTATGCGCCTTTGCTCCCTACACAGCCTCCTTCTGGGCACAGCTGACTCTTGAGGTCACAAGGACAGGGCTGAAGTCCCAGCATTTTTCAAAACGAAGCAGAGGGGAATTAGGAAAAGCTGCAGATCTCAAAGGGACCTGTGTGAGAGTCAGAGGAAGAGACCTCTGAGGGTTCAGACTGACAACAGTCTGTCATCAAATTAAGCCAGAGTTAGATGAGTGGCCTGTCCACCTGCTCCACTGATCACTGGAAACCCGGGGCCCATCAGGACTCGGAGTGAAATGCAATTTACTGGGGATCTCCATCTTCTCCTGTCCTACACTTGGGTACCCTGGGAACCCTTCCCTTGGCACCGTTTCCCTCTCTTGGGAACCCAAGTGCCAGGCTTCTCTTCATCCTTCACGTGGCAATAGCTCTGTCACCTCCGCCCTACTCGTCACCTCCCGCAGCACAAACACACACTTACTATTGGCCCAGGCTGGTCCCAAACTTAGGATCCTCCTGCCTCAGCCTCTTGGATGCTGGGATCTTAGGTCTGTGCTCTGGCTCATGTAATCACCCTCTTTAAGGTGGGTTCCCCATTCCCTTTTTGGTCTCCATGCATTTCCCCCTTCTTCCCCTTAGTATATTAGTTACTTTTCTTGTTGTTGAGACAAAATCCCCAATGACAAACAACTCAGGGAGGAAGGGCTTATCTCGGCTCCTGGTCTGAGGGGACACAGTCCATCAGAAGGGGAAGGTATAAAACATGAGGGTCACATTCCAAAGGAGACGACAGTGGCACTAGACTCACTTTCTCCTTTTTATTCAGCCCTGATCCTAGCGCGTGGGATGGTGCTGCTTACATTTAGGTTGGATCGTCTCCTCTCAGTGAATCCTTCCTGGAAACCTCACAGACACGCTCGCAGGTATGTTCCAGTTAAGCCGATGATGATTATTAACCAATACGCTTATACAAACTTTCCCTACTTCTTGGACTGGGCATCTGTCTCCACTGTTAGAACATTTACGTATAATACATGTCTTTAATCCCAGCACTTTGGGGGTCGAGGGTGCAGAGGCAGGTGAATCTCTGAAAATTTGAGGCCAGCCTAGTCTGTGAGTTCTAGGAGAGCTAGGGTTGTTACAGAGAGAAACCCTGTCTCAAACAAACAAACATAAAAACAAACAACAGCTGGGCAGTGGTGGCATACCCCTTTAATCCCAGTACTTGGAAGACAGAGGCAGGCAGATCTCTGTGAGTTCCAGGCCAGCCTGGTCTACAGAGCGAGATCCAGGATGGGCTCCAAAACTACACAGAGAAACCCTGTCTTGAAAAAACAAACAAAAACCCAAACAACAACAACAAAAAACATTTACCTGTGAATCTCTAGGCCCTTTAGCTGAATTTCTGTTAAAATGTGTGTGTGAACTTCCTGTGTTAACTTAAAGGATCTTCACATGCCATAGAAAGAGTTTTTTTTCTTCTTTCTTTCTTTCTTTCTTTCTTTCTTTCTTTCTTTCTTTCTTTCTTCTTTCTTTCTTTCTCTGGTTTTTCGAGACAGGGTTTCTCTGTGTAGCTTTGCGCCTTTTCTAGAACTCACTCTGTAGACCAGGCTGGCCTCGAACTCACAGAGATCCACCTGGCTCTACCTCTCAAGTGCTGGGATTAAAGGCATGTGCCACCACTGCCCGGCAGGAAACGACTGGAAAGTGTTCTTAGAAGCCTGCAATCAGGGTTGGGGATTTAGCTCAGTGGTAGGACGCTTGCCTAGCTAAGCACAAGGCCCTGGGTTCGGTCCTCGGCTCCAGGAAAAAAAAGAAGTCTGCAATCTTCATCTACAGTTTTAAAGTCCCCAAGAGCTCAGAAACCCAAAGTATTTCCCTTAACGTTGGTGCTAAAGCTGACTTGAACTTTGTCATAATTAATTTGAGTGGCCATTTCCTCTGTATTTCTAGAAACTGACTGGTTTTGTGGGGCTGACAGGACCCCCAGAGGATCCCCAAAGGATTTCAAGCAGTGCTGGGCATAGTAGCTCTTCCTATAATCCCAGGACTGGGGGGGGGGGCGTGCTGAGGAAGGAAGATGCCATGGTTTGAGGCTAGCCTGGTTTACAAAGTGATCCCAGTTTGGATTATATAGTGGGATTCTGTGTCAAAAACAAAGAACAAGAAAATAAAAATTACAGGCGGTGGTGGCACATGCCTTTAGTCTCAGTACTAGGGAGGCAGAGGCAGGTGGATCTCTGTGAGTTTCAGGCCAGCCTGGTTTACATAGAGTTCCAGGCTAGCCAGGGCTACAATGTGAGACTCTGTCTTAAAAATAAAGAACAAACCAAAAAAAAAAAAATCTTCAAGGGGGCTGGAGAGATAGCCCAGTGCAGTAGATAACCTAAAAATCTGATTTTGGATTCATAGCACCCATGTAAAAGCCAAGCATGGTCACACACATCTATGACCCTAATGTGGGGGGTGGGGTTAGGGGGGTGGAGATAGGTGGATCCCTGGAATTTGCTGGCCAGTCTGTGAGCTTTGGGTTCAGTGAGAGATTCTGCCTCAGAAGATAGACAAGGTGAAGAGAGTGGGAGACACTCAGCATCAACTTCTGACCTCTACACACACACACACACACACACACACACACACACACACACACACACACGTTATATATACATACACACATATCACACTGTTTACTTTTATTTTTTTAATTTTATTTTTATTCTATGTGCATTGGTGTTTTGCCATGGGTGTCAGGTGTTTCCTGGAATTGGAGTTACAAACAGTTGTGACCTGCCATGTGGTTGCTGGGAATTGAACCCAGGTCCTCTGGAAGAGCTGCCAGTGCTCTTAACCACTGAGCCATCTCTCTATTCTTTTTGGTTTTCTGAGACAGGGTTTCTCTGTGTAGATTTGAAGCCTGTCCTGGAACTCTCTCTGTAGACCAGGCTGGCCTCAAACTCACAGAGATCTGCCTGCCTCTGCTTCCTGAGTGCTGAGCGCCACCACCGCCCAGCTCTCCAGTCTTTTTAAAAAAGACTCCCAAGTGTTAGCAGCTTGAAACAACATTATTTGTTCCGTTGCGGTTTGTCAGGAGCCTTGGAGCAGTGTACCTGGGAAATACGGTGCAGAGGCTTCTCCGAGATGGAAGCCAATGTGTAAGCTGGGTCTGCAACCTTTCGCTGGGGACAGATGACTTAGTCCTAAGCTGATTCCTTCACTGAAGTGGACAAGCTGGGCAAGTCTATAGACACAATGGATCTCATGACTTCGCTGCAGAGGTCACCCTCCACCATTTCCCCAGCATCCTCTTGGTTACAGAGGTCAAGTACCTCAGTTATATGCACCTACCTAAAATCAAAGCTTTTGAACTCCGAACACATGTGGCCCAGAGTGCGTTAGAAATTTCTGGGTTGTTTGATGTCTGTTTTGTAGTTAACAATCAGGATCAAATCAGGACCCACCCCTGGCTACACACAGTGGGAACAGTGAAGACTCAGAAGCACAAATCAGCTCGGGGCCAGGGTTCTTCTGTGTGCTGCCCCCTGCCCTGCCCCGACTTCCCCTTTATCCCACCACTGCCTCAGTCAGTCATGATGACTGTGCCAGACGATCATGGAACATGGGCCTTGTGGCAGTTTGAATGAGAACGACTCCCATAGGCTCATGCTTGAATATTTCGTCCCCAGCTGGTGGAACTATTTGGCAAGGATTTAGAAGTGTGGCCTTGTTGGAAGAGGTGTGTCACTAGGGGCAGAGAGATTTTGAGGTTTGAGCATGCTCTCTGGCTCCAGCTTGTGGATCAAGATATGTGCTCTCAGCTTTAACATCTGGCACTTAAGGCCAGTTGAACGCTTTGTTTTATAAGCTGCCTTGGTCGTGGCATTTCGTCACAGCAATAGAAAAGAAACTAAGACACACCCATTGTCTAGTGCCACAACACCCCTACCAGGAAGGGAAGCCAGTATCTGTTCTCTTGACTCTAAGGGCTTAGAAGGAGCTGACCATAGCTGAGCCAGGTCGGCCACTCCCAGTGTCCATCCCATAAACACTTGTTGAGGTCTGGCTTTGCTTGTAGTTTGATACTGCAAGTGGGTGAGTTTCTACAGGCTCAGGCAGAGCTTGTCTGTGGACCACTCCGGGGGAACAGACAGAATGCTGAGCTCAGGAGACTGGGCAAGGAGAAACACATCCTCCCATGAGGGGACCCCCACTAGACCTTAGCAAAGGGCCTTTGAAAGATCCTCACTGCGGGGAGGTGGGGGAGAAGAGACTTCCCAGTGGGAAAACAGCGTTTGTATGGGAGGGACGGGCCGGCGCTCTCCTGCCTTCTGCTCGAAGAACAAACAGCTTCTAGCACCAAGGCTGTCCTAACTCGAATTTAGGGGCACGCTGGGGTCTGGTGGCTGCCTCTGGGGCCCATTATGCATTCTGGTTGGGAAGTCCTCTCTGAGCTCAGCATCCCTGCGTGACAAAACGCATACCAAGCCGCTGAAGAGGAAGGAACCCAGCCAGTGAAACCTGACCACACTCCACGTCCAATGTTTGAAGTCATTTGATTTATTTGCTTTCCTTCAGCAGCTGTACCAGAGGAAACCGAACCCCAAACCCTGTCGCAGACTGGATCGGACTCCGGGAAAATTCCTCAGACGGAGGGAATAGGGCCGCCTAGCACTGCGGGCGGACAGCCTCTGGAAGGGAGCTAGTGCGTCAAGGCAGGGTGGGACCGCTGAGAGGGAGGGGGCGGTGCCAGCAGTGGGCGGGGGCGGAGTCTCGGCAGGGGGCGAGGCGGAGCCAGCTGTGGGCGGGGGCGGAGTCTCGGCAATGGGCGAGGCGAAGCCAGCTGTGGGCGGGGGCGGAGTCAGACTCCCGGCAGAGAGCGAGGCGGAGCCAGCTGAGGGAGGGGGCGGAGTTTCGGCAGTGGGCGAGGCGGAGCCAGCTGTGGGTGGGGCCGGATTAGGCTCCTGGGAGTGGGCGGGGCGAGGCGGGAAAAGTTCCGGGAAGGCCGGTTGTCGCTCCCGCTACAGGCAGAAGTTCGAGGTGCCCGGGTCCCCAGGAAGGTCCACCGTCATGTCGTCTGGGGACGCAAGGTCTGGTGGACAGGACGGCACCCCGCGCACGGCCGCCGCGCTCTGTAGCCTGTACCACGAGGCGGGCCAGCAGCTGCGGCGCTTACAGGATCAGCTGGCCGCGCGCGACGCCCTTATTGCGAGCCTCCGCACCCGCCTAGCGGCTCTGGAAGGGGACACGGCGCCGTCGCTCGTGGACGCGCTTCTGGATCAGGTGGAGCGCTTCCGTGAGCAGCTGCGGCGGCAGGAGGAAGGAGCCACCGAGACCCAACTGCGCCAGGTGCGGGCCGGGCGGGCGGGCGGGCGCTGCTGCCCCGGGCGGCCTCGGGGACTTGCTGGAGTGTGGCACGGAGTCCAGTCCTGAGGGTCTCGCGGATCTGAGGGCGCGAGGATATGAGGCGTGTGGTGCGGGTCTGAAGGGCGCGAGGTCCAGGGGGTCTAAAGGGAGCCGGGTTGTGGGAGGCCCGAGGTCCTGAGGCTCGGGGATCTGAGGCTCAGGGAACATTGAGGGGTTGAGGTCTGAGGAGCAAGAGTCTGGGGACTCCAGGGTTCTGAGCGGTTGAGGATTCATTTGTAGGCGGGAGGGATGTATCGCACAGAGCTGAACAGGCGTCTCTGGGGCACAAAGTTCTGGTGAACATCAGGGTGTTAGGGGTCCTCAGGGGCTCAGGTTATGAACAGTTCTGAGGGACATATAATGAAGGTAAGTTTGGGACTGACCCCCAGGGTCTCTCGACTTTGAGGAACACTGTTGAGGGAAACTTGCTCATGAAGTTCTGTGTGGTGGATCTGAGGAACAGGAGGGACCCTGGAGTGCAGGCATCTGTGGAGCGTGAGGTACTGAGGTAGTCTTGGACACATGGTTCTGTTGGTAGTGAGCTTCTCCAACCTGTGCTCCTGACCCCAAAAGGGTGTGTAGCTGTTTTCATCACTGATCTATTGCTTTGAAGAGACATCATGACCAAGGCAACTCTTATAAAAGAAGGTATTTCATTGGGGGCTTGCTTACAGTTGCAGAGGGGTTAGTCCATTATCATCATGGTGGGGAGTATGGCAGCTCCAAAGAAGGCATGGTGCTGGAGTAGCCGCTGAGAGCTACATTCTGATCCCCAGGCAGAGAGAGACACTGTGGGCCTGGTGTGGGTTTTTGAAACTTGAAAGCCCACCCCCCAGTGACACAGTTCCTCCACCAAAGCCACACCCCCTAATCCTTCTCAAATAGTGCCACTCGCTGATTGACTAAGCATGCAAATACATGAGCCTGTGGGGGCCATTCTTATTCAAACCACCACAGTGGGACACCAGGTTTGAAGGAGATGGAGTTCTGAGCAGGGCTGGTGTTCAGGGTTGGGTGGGTGCAGGGTTCGGAGAGACACTAGAGGCTCTGAAGGACATGGATGAGGCATGGGACCTAGAGGGTCTGAAGGACATACAGGCATTGCTTTTTGAGGAGTGTGTATAGGTTCCAGTGTGTGTTTGTGTTGGGTTATGAGAGTGCAGTGCAGGTTTTGGGGTATTGTGTTCTGGGGTTCTGTGTTAGGGAGGTCTTCTGTGGAACATGGGTTTCGGAACTTGTGTGGGGTGCCCTGGACCTGAGAGATGCATAGGGTTCCAGGGATGGAGCTCTGAGAGAGAAGACACACAGTTTGGATTGGTGGCTTTTAGTATTCTATTGGAAGAAGTGACAGGAAGAGTCTGCTAAGTATCTGATAATCTGTAAATTCTTTGGTCCTCCTTGTCATTTGGTTTTATTTGGTTTCTGTGAGATATCATAAGCTCACAAAACTGAAGCAAGGGAAATGTTTTTCCCTACACGTTATTTGTAAATCTGACACCCTCCTCCATGTTTGGATGAATTCTGGCATGGCTATCCTGGTTTTTCCAGGAAAGAAAGTAAGCCTGAAAGGCGAGTAGCTGGCAAAAGATAGTTTGTTTCCAAGGTTTCACCCCCACAGCTAGATTTCTTCCTTCCTTCCTTCCTTTTTCTGTCTTTCTTTCTCTTGTTGTTCTTCCAGAGGACCTGGGTTCTTTTTCCAGCACCCATGTCGAGTGGCTCACAACTACCTCAACTCCAGCTCTACGTGACCTGCCAGTCTCTTCTGGTGCTTCCTCTGGCACCAATGGATACAAACACACACACACACACACACACACACACACACACACACACACACACACAAACATAATAAAAAAGTAAATCTTTGGGGCTGGAGAGATGGCTCGGAGGTTACAAGCACTTGTTGTACTTGAAGAGGACCCAGGCTGATTCCCAAACCCACATGGTGGCTCACAGCTGTGTAACTCCAATTCCAGGGGATCTGATGCCTTCTTCTGACCTCTAAGAGCACCAGCCATACACGTGGTGCACATACATACATGTAGGAAAAACAATCACATACAATCACATGGCTTGTGCCATCTTCACCCTGCTTCCAGGGCTACTTTGACTCTTGAGACCGTCTATTTAAAGTACCAGGAGAAACCAGATGTCTCCCTGCTCCAGTTCTCCCTCTTTCTGGAAGGAGGGTTATAAAATACAGCCAAAGGGAAATGTAGAGCTCACCTGGTCTGTGCCACTAATTTAGAGTGCAGAGTGGAGATCTGAAGACTCCCCAGAATTTGTCAGCAGAGTATCAGTAGGGTAAGGGAGCTCCCCATAATCAGAACAGAACTACACTTGCAGTCTAGTGGCCATTGGTGTTCAGTGCAGAAGCATCCACACGAAGCAACTGGGACTTACTTGTAGCTCTCTAGAGGCCCCAGACAGAACCGTCTGTGGTCCCAGTATTACTGGTACTACATCCTCTGACATACAGGTTTTGTTCAGGGATTTTAAGAATTATTTGCAATTTTATTTAGGAAATTTTGTTAACATTGTGGTGACTTTAAATATTATTACAAAACTATTGCATGGCTTCTCAGTCTGCCAAAACAAATTGATTAATGCATTAGCAGTAGACATACGTATCAAAAATTACCCTGTTAGAATAACTGAACAAGCCAGGCCATGGTGGTACACATCTTTAATCCCAGCACTCAGGAGGCAGAGGCAGGTGGATCTCTGTGAGTTCAAGGCCAGCCTGGTCTACAGAGTGAGTTCTAGGACAGCCAGGGCTACACAGAGAAACCCTGTACTGAAAAACAAACAAACAAAACCAAAAAATAGCAACAATGAAAAAACCAAACCAAAACAACCCCCCCCAAAGCGCTGAACAGTCTTGTTCATTTCCATTTCAGTGTTGTTGTTTTTTCTATGATGTAGCTTCTTTGGTTATGTGGTTTGCAGAGGTATGCACAGGATAAGGCTAAAGTAACTAATATAATAGATTAGTTGTTAATGTAATACATTCTATGACTACATACTAGTAACTTTCTTAGTTATTTTTCTGTTGCTGTGAAGAGATACCATGATCAAGACAACTTATAAATGAAATAATTTAATTGGGGGCTTGCTTACAGTTTTAAGGGTGAGTCCATAACCATCATGGGGGCAGAGAGGCAGCAGGCAGGCAAGGTGCTGAGCAGTAGCTGAGAGCTTACATCTGATCCACAGGCAGGTGACAGAGAAAGAGACTGGGCTTGGTGAAGGGATAAAGGCACTCTCCCTGCCCTCCCCCCCACCTCAGTGACTGGTACACCTACCTTTTCCAACAAGGCCATACCTCTCATTCCTTCCCAGAACAGTTTCACCAATGAAGGACCAAGTATTCAAATCTATGAGCCTATGGGGTCCATTCTCATTCAGACCTCCACAGTAACTAATGCAGTGCATTCTACAATGACAATTAGGTATGAGCACAATGTTAGCAAATGTCAAAGAGGCTATGTGCTTGTCAGATCACTGCAAATATGTTAGCACTCTTAAATTTTTATTATCTTTTTCTTACCTCTTATTGCCATTAAATTCTGCTAGTGAATGCAACATTGTTATGCTTCAAATCATTTGTTCTTCATCTGTAATAAAGGAAAGTAACTGCAACTGGCCTTAATTTTAAAATCAAATAATGTGGGTCTAGAAAGATGCTCAGTAATTAAGAGTACATACTGCTCTTGCAGAGGACCCAAGATTGGATCACAGCATCAAGAGGCTTACAAGTTCCTGTAACTCCAGTTCCAAGGGATTCAACATCCTCTTCTGACCTCCATAGTAACCTGAATGCACTCACATACAGATACATACAATAAAAATAAAAAGCCACTCTGGGGAGTGGTGGCGCACACCTTTGATCCCAGCACTTGGGAGGCAAAGGCAGGTGGATCTCTTTGAGTTTGAGGCTAGCGTGGTCTACTTGAAAAACCAATAAATAAAAATAAAAAGCTGGGCCTGGTGGCACATGTGGTTAATCCCAGCACCCCGACAGCAGAAGCAGGTGGATCTTTGTGAGTTTGAGACTAGCCTGGTCTACACAGTGAGTTCTAGCCAGAGCTCGATAGTGAGACTGTCTCTAAAATCCCACCCCCTCACTGCAAAAAGAAGCCAAAATAGAGTTCCAGGACAGTCAGGGCTACACAGAGTAACTTCTGCCTTGGGAAAAGTAAAAAGAAAAGCCAAAATAAATATATCAATAAATAAAGTCTAAAAGAACAAACGCGAAATAGGGTTGTCAAGACGGCCCAACAGGTAAAGGCAGTTGCCACCTGATGACCTGAGCTGCCATCAGTTGGCTGATGACCTGAGCTGATCCCCAGAACTTGTGTGGTAGAAGAGACCAGAACCCTGTAAGTTGACCTCCACATTCATACTAAGGCATACAGGCTTTCGTGGTCTCTCTCTCTGTTTTTGTCTCTCTTTCTCTCATAAACTAATTAATAAATAAATAAACAGAATTCTTTTTACTTTTTATATTTATTTATTTATTTATTTATTTATTTATTTATTTATTTATTTATTTATTTATTTTTGAGACAGGGCTTCATTGTGTAACAGCCTTGGCTGTCCTGGAACTTGCTCTGTAGACCAGGCTGGCCTCCAAACTATAGAGATCCGCCTGCCTCTGCTTTCTGAGTGCTTGGATTAAAGGATTGTACTACCACCACCACCATCACCACCAGGCATAAACACAATTTTTAAAGAAAAAAAAATAGCAATGTGAAACAATTGATTAGTTACACCACGTATCTTTCACTAAAGAAATGGTTAACATGATTATTTCCATATGTAGTAAAATATATTGTGATTATAGGGAACTGATTCAACAAGATTGTATACAAATTTATATTTCCAAAGGAGCATGCTTTATACTTCCTAGAAAGCAAATACAGTGGGGAGAAAAAAATCTC